TACACTCTATGCATGTCCTCGAGCTCTAAACAATGTTCTCAACGCTTCCTTGAACATGGGCATTCTGTATGTATACACGATAGGGTTGATAACAGAGTTGGCAAGATGTAAAACTGTTGCTGTCAACATAACATTTACGACTTCCAAAATACAGTTTGAACACACATAAATAACAGAGTACAACAGTACAGCCGGGAGCCAACAAATAATTGATAAGCTTATGATTATGAGCAGTGTTTTCGACAGTTTTATATTCCGTGCCATATTTCTTCTAATTTGACTGTCAAATATGGGCACGCCAGGGCTTAGTCCACTACGCATAAGTAGGTAACTAGTACAGATAACAAAAAGCGAAAGTAATAAAGTTAGATTGATTAATATTGTTGAAAGCTGAATATCCACCACTGCAGGAAAAACTAGTCGCAACATGAACAGCACGGCTGCAAAGATCCCGGCTACCCAGACGATTACGATACCACAAACATAAACACGAGTGTTCAGTGTTCGGTGACGCAACGGACAAAGTACGGCGTAAACTCGTTCCACTGAAATAATGGCGAGCGAAAACACAGAACACCAAGAAAATAGAATTGTTAATGACGAAATAAGGAAGCTGTAGTGATATGCATTCATATTGTAATCGGGCTCAGTGAAAAGAAATGGAACTGAACGGGTTGCAAGTGATATTAACTCCACCACACCCACCAGTAAATCTGCGACTGTGAGGTTGAGCAGAAGATAATAGGTTCGCTGTAAAGTGATTCTCTTTTGCCAAAACACAAATATGGTAAATGCGTTACCGATGCAAATCAAGATTGATTCTGTTGAGAGCAAAACACAAAACAAGACGAAGACTGTGGAAGACATTTTTTCCCTTCGCTAACTGATTTCCAGAAGACGCGGTTATTAGGGGTGTTATAATCTGCTAGGAAATAAAATGTCTTCCACTTCCTCAATAATCAATGTCCCTCAGTAAACATCATGGATAATTTATTGACAGCATAGGGATTGATCGGTTTTTAATTGAAACCTCCTACAATAGAGCTAGATATATCTCTAAGTGATAAAATATAGAACTTTAAATGAAGAGCATATGGAATGGTGGCTAAGATTGAATAATGGTCAATAATAAAGAATAACAATGACCTGATTCCATAAATTTGGCATTTCATCAGCAATGGCATTGTTTTCAATGCATCTGAGCTTCCGGACGGAGTAATTAAATTGAACAAATTCACTTTGAGCCAACGAAAGCAAGTGCGATTTCATCAGTAACTCAAATTAATTTTTCGTTGGTGGTTTTTTAATCAAGAGATCAGACCACCCGAGAAACCAAAAATTTATTTCCTATTCTACACTGAAAATTAATGTAAATTCAAAAGAAAAGGTATTAGTTTTTGTTATAGCCGGTTTTCAATTCTGACTGCACCAGATCATAAAAAAAAAATTCTCATTTTATTAGCCTTTCACTGTCAATTCTAAAAGACTGCTTTCCAAAGAGCTCTCAAACTCATTTACAATTCATCAAGTCTAAACAAAGGAAATTACGGCCGTGAAAGAGTTTGGATATCTGATCTTAATTAGCATAGATTTTTACGATTCTGTTTCTCGTTTTCCTCTTTAGTTTTAGTTTTTA